TCTTCGTCGCCTTCCCGGGGACGGAATGGATCATCGTGTATGTTGAGAGATCGAATGACCATTGGTGAAGTCAAAGGATGAGCTTTGTCCATATAGAATCTCTTCAACACTTTCTCGGTGTAATTGGATTGATGGATGAAAATTTCATTCTTCAAATGCTCAATTTGAAGTCCGAAACAAAATTTGGTTCTCCCGAGATCTTTCATTTCAAATTCTTTTATAAGATATTTTGCAGTACTTTCAATTTCATCGTGAGGTCCAATAATGTTGAGGTCATTAACATATACTGCAATTATGGCGAATCCCAAATTTGATCACCGAATGAAAACACATGGACTAATTGGATCATTCTTATATCCTTCTTCGAGAAGGTATTCACTGAGACGATTATACCACATTCATCCAGATTGTTTTAGTCCATACTATGACTTCTGTAATTTAATGGAAAACATGTCTCGAGATTTCGAGCTATAAGCTTCAGGCATTTTAAATCCCCCGGGAACTTTCATATAAATGTCTGTATCGAGTGAACCGTATAAATATGCAGTCACTACATCCATTAGGCGCATTTGCAGCCTTTCAAAAACAGACATGCCAATGAGAAACCTTAATGTAGTTGCATCAACTACTGGAGAATAGGTTTCTTCATAATCTATTCCCGGCATTTGAGAAAAACCTTGGGCAACAAGTCGGGCTTTATATCTAACAATTTCATTCTTTTCATTGCGTTTATGCACAAATACTCATTTAAACCCCACGGGTTTTACGCCTTTTAGTGTAGGGACTATCGGTCCAAAAAACATCACGTTTTTCAAGTGATTTTAATTCAGCCTGAATAACATCATTCCATTTTGGCCAATCGTGTCGTTTTCGACATTCTTTAATTGATGTTGGCTCATTGTCATTGTTTTCATTCATAACATTTGTGGCAACAACATAGACAAATATCTCATTAATATCAATATCTTTTCGATTCCATTGCATTCCAGTAGAAACATAATTTATTGAAATTTCATAATTATCAACGTTTCTATCATTATCTGGAATATGTTCCTCATTTAAGGAAGTTAGATCATCATTTGAGATGTTTGTTTTGTCAATATCATTTTCTATGCCAGTATTTTCAAATTGTTCATTTTCTTGTTGAGAAGGATGAACATCTTTGACATCACAGATCAATTCCTGCCTTTTAATTTTTGTTGGTTTTATGTCTTTTGATCAAAGTGGCCTGTCACATTTTTTGCGTATAGAAGAATCATTTACGAGAGATTTTTCAGAATTCTCCGCTGGGAGTTTGGAGGGAATGAGAGGCGAAGGTTTTGGAGGTATGTTGTTGGAGGGGAAATGGAGGGGAGGATGATGAAACCCTTCTTTGTATTTGAGAGTAATAAATTTGGAAGAAGAAGATTTTTGAATAGATTATAAGTAAAATCACTTTGAGATATGATGAATTCAAATAATTGAATTGATATTTTTTTTAATTAAACTTAAATTATCATTTGATTAATTATTTTTCAAAACCCTTCAAATTGGGGAACTCATAAATTGAGTATTTAGAGGATTTTGGAGGGTCACTAAAGCCCTCCAAATTTTATAAACTCCCAAACATAAAAAGGAGTGCCATAAAAACCTATCAACCTTTCTCTCCCCTCCAAAATCCAACTCCCAAACACACCCTAAGTGTACATAGTCACTATAGTATGAAATAACTTAGTCTTAGTAACACTCATTTTTACACTTTGATGGAACTAATTGTCCCGATCGAGTAAATAAAGAAATTAGAGCGGACATAGTATTTTATCGTGGAAACCAAATCAGTGAAAACCACGGGCCTTTTTCGGTGGTACCATGCCAACGGGAGCCGAGAGCTTTTATTATAGTTGTGTGGGAGAGGTTACATGTACAAAACATATATGAAGCTTCTAGGGAAGCCATTAATGGAGAAATAATTAAGCTAGGAAGAAGAAATAACATGTGCATGAGAGGAGAGGGGAGTGTTGTGTCGTAGGAAATGGGATAGTAGTTAGGCAATTGCCCTCTCTTTCATTGATGAGTAGCTAGTCATTAAGTAGATAAATATTCAGGCAAGTGGCATATGGGACGTTTCCTCGTCACACACATATGTCATACTCAAATAAGTAAAGGCATGGCGTAGGGCTGAGTGTGTTTCCTCCCAATTATGTGAATATGTTAATATCTTTTGTATATGTGATTCCCGATAAGACCTTATATATAGACTGCGATGAGTCTAGAGGAATATTCTCCATCACACTTAAATGAGTATGAAATTACTATATTATAGTAACATTTTTTATAAATAAGTTTCATTTCATTCATATTTTTGTATATTTATTTTATATGTGAAACCCTTAATTTTGTATGTAAATATTTTGCAACGTTTTATTGTGTGTGTAAACTTGTAGCGGTGTGACAGTGTGACACTGATCAACAAATTCGACCTTTGATAGTTTGATTGCCTGTGATAATTTATACGGAGTAGACAATAATGAGGGGAGAGGGGATCTACATATATCAATAGTGACAAGATGTTGAAGGAATAAGAATGGATTATGGTGCTGGGAAAATATTGAACAATACCCACACCCTTTATGTACCATATTCCCCATACACCCCACACTATTCATGACCAAACCCGACCACAATTTAATGCATCTCTTCGCAAACAATTATGTTCAACCCTAATCCTTAATTAACATTAATCATTTGAAGCATCTTTATTTCATCTGTTCTTAATTAATTGGTGTTTTAACTTGTTCTGCTTTCAGTTGTACTGTGCATATCTTATGTCTGATTTGTTGGGGACATTGATGCACATAACGGAGTACCCCGAAACTCATAAGATTAGAATTTCGAAAGGGGCTAGCTCAAAACGATCAGGGCAGGCCCTGATATTTTATGGGCCCGGGGCAATTGAAAAAAGAAGGCTCTTAAAAGGTTATATAAATATATCGCAAAAGCTTAACTTTATATACGCAAATTTCAACATACAAAGTAATGTAAGTCTTTCATCAAAGTCTTAATATATAAACTAAAAGAATAAAAATTATATTAAAAAATAAAAAATAAAACCAGAGAATTACTTGTGAAATTGAAATTTCAAATTTGGAAGATATTTTTGAGAAAATTAGGAGAGTGTTGATTGCTGAGCAAAACGAATTAAAGTCCAAAGATGAAACCTTGAAATTAGGCCTGCCTAACGGGAAATGATGTCAGACCGGGGCCATTTGAGGCCCTTCCCGATAGAATTTTTTCATGAGATTTTTTAAATATATTCTTCATGAAATCTATAATATCTCCACAAAGTTTCAGATTAAAATTCAACCTAAAAGTCAGTTAAATAAATTATTGAAAGATAGTGTGCATTATTTATATACACAAAGCGCAGTGTGTTTCAATATTTTATTTAACTGACTTCCCGGTTGATTTTCAAACTAAAATTTTGTGAATGTAATTTACACTTGATGAAAAATACTCTAAAAAAGTTTCATAAAAAATTCCTCCATAAAGGGCCCCAAATGACTTCGGTCTGATATGAATTATTGTCCTCTCTATATTTATCCATTTATATATAAATCTGGGCCCCCTGTAAATGTTGGGCCCGGGGCGCAAGCCCGGCCTGCCCTTGTCCAGGGCCGGCCCTGAAAACGATAATAAATTAAATGTATGTTACATTTCAGAAATTGTAAAAGATAATTTCATCATCACAAATTGTAACTATAGCCTAAAAAAGAATAGGGCCGGCCGGCTGGGCACCGTGATTATACAAGATCCTAGCTATAACAAACTACGGATTATGTAGTTTAAAATGGTGTAATGTTAATATTGAACATACTCTAATAAATGGAAACCTAATAATAATATATCATAACATACCATACCTTAAATGTCAACCTCCTTAAATAGGGATTGAGTTTCGACCTTGTGACCTCCTCCTTTGGAGTGTCAGAGAAATGTCATGGAACCACAAGTGTTTAGGCTTTTAATAAATATAGATTGATTAGAATAAAAAAACTAATTATGTTAAGTATTCTTAGCAATTAGTATATCATTAGTAAATGTATTTGTAATGTTGTATCTTTACTAGTTTTTTTTGAAAGAGTATCTTTACTAGTTAGTTAGACGAGAATAACAATAATAAGTAAAAAAAATTATTTTGAAAAAATAAAGTTATTATTAACGTAATAGCAGTGTCGTCCTGTTTTATTTGAGGTTTTCCCAAAAGTATTACAAATGAAAAATGTATAGAAAAAAAATGTGAATATTAGTTACTACGTACTACACATAAATATTATAGTCACTATAATATAACATTTGAATATAGTTATAAATGTGAATAAATTATTTTGAAAAAATAAAGTTATTAGATTAACGTAATAGAAGTTTCGTCCTATCACATTTTTTATCACTACTTTTATTTTGGTTATATATTTGTAGTTATTTTATTTTAATTGGCATGGGATTCACTCGATAAGGAAAAGACCATCTAGTTATACATGTACTCCCTATAAAACACATTAATTGGTTCAAGTGTGGTACAGTCTTTTTGCATGCCCCTAGAAACCAACTTTTTTAAACCAACTTTTTTGGCATAAAAAGAGTTATTTATTGGTGTGTCGTTTCTTATGATAAAAATCTTTCACATACAAAAACAGTTCTATAGACCTTGGGAGGGGCCAATATTTAATTTAAAATTGCAGAAATTAAATACACAGTATATATTTTTAAAAAGCATTTGACTCTCATAAAAAGACATCAATTATTAATTAAATTGTCGTTTTTGGGCAGAATTGAGTTTCTAGTTCTAGGCTTCTAGCTAATAAAGAAAACAGGAGAAGTTGTACACCAAGCAAAAAAATAGCTTTTTAAAAAAAACGTGTACATTTCCTAAAGTCTAAATTTATGGAAAACTTTAGCCCAAATCTGCGGGAGAATAAATAGCCTTTTCCCTCAACAACTCAAACCATTCTCTCCTTTCCAGTGTCTCTCCCATGGCAAGAATTTATCCCCAGACCTCATCCTCCTCTTCTTCACCATCTTCTTCATCTTACATCACCTCAAAGCGTGAGACGTTTACAGTGTGGATGAAGTCTCTTGTCTTCCATGGCAATGGATGCACTGTGTTTGACTCCAATGGTGAGATTGTCTACAGGATTGATAACTACAACAGAAAATGCAGCAGAGAAGTTCATCTCATGGATCTCCATGGCAGAGTACTCTTCTCTATCAGACGAAAGGTATCGATTTGACTGCTCTTTTTGTCTTAGTTTTTGTATTGTTAAGACTTAAGATGAACTGCTGAAATCTTTATACTTCAATTATTCTGTTGTTAAGAAGAGTAGTTTAAATCTTTATACATTGAATTGTCTATTTGAGCTTAATGAATCGAAAAAGTTAAGATTTGGTGAACTAAAAACTCTAAAAGGTAAAGCTTTGGAGCAGTGAATACACTAGAAAAAGTTAAAAAGAACTCAGTTCTATCATAAAAGCATCAACATATAAAAGAAGAGTTCAAAGTCTGTATATATTATTTGCATCTTTTTATTTAATCACTCTGAAAGGCCTAAAAAGTAGAAATAAAAAAGCTAGTATGTATCAATGATGGATAGACTTTGACCTGTGGTTCATATGCAGAAATTTTCAGTTTTTGGACAATGGAATGGCTATAGATGCAACAACAGTGAAGTGGATTGTGAAGAAGTACTATGCTTTCGAGTTAGGAGAAGTTGGAACATTTTGGGAGGAGGCTCGAATAGCTACTATGTCAATCCAGCTTCAGATCAACCACAAGAGAACTGTTATGAAATTATTGCATTACCTGGAAAATCTTCATTCAAGATTGTCAATAGAACAAGAGTAATCGCAGAGGTTTGTGCTTCTCCTCCCATCAATCTTAAACCATGTTCTAGAAGTTAAAAGTTTTTCACTTTTTCCCCTACTATTTGTATATCTTTGCTGACCTTATGCAATGTTGGGGTTTGCAGGTGAAACAAAAGCAGGAAAAATCTGGAGTTGCTTTTGGGAATGATGTGCTAACTTTGATGGTAGAGCCTCACTCTGATCATTCTCTAGTTATGGCTCTTGTGACAGTCTATGGATTGATTAACAAAAAACTATGAAAGAGATTCTGTACTCATTTATACATTTATTTCGACAAATACAGTGTATATGTGAAGGAAACTTACATGAATCAAAGGATAGTAGCGTGCACTGTTTCGATCTTCAAAGAAATTCTAACCAATTATTTTCTTGTCTTCAAGAGTATATGGTATCGTTTGGATTTGCTGAGAGTTTCAGAGAGTTATTTATTTAGCTTATCTATTCTTTTTACGGTTTTACCCATTTCGGGTGAAATCCATACTTTCTTGCAATACAAAAAGTCCATCAACAATTTCAAAAATGGAAATTCATTATTGAGATAGGCAGACTAGGGATGGACTCGGGCCGGGCCAACCGGCCCGGAACCGGACCGGCCCGCTACTGTGCGGGCCCGGACCGGCCCGGTGAACCGGTTCGGTTCCGGTTCGGGCCTCCCGGCCCGGTGGTATACCGGTCCGGGCCCGGGCCTCCAGTTTAGTGAACCGGCCCGGCCCGGCCGGGCCCGGTTCGGGCCGGAATTTAATTTTTTTTTTTTTTTTTTTGAAATTTTTTTAAGTTTTGGGTTGGATTAGGTATTTTGGGCCATTTGAGGTGGTTTGGGGTGGAGGGGGAGGGGTAGGGGGTTAAATAAGAGAAGAAGAAGAAGAAGAAAAAACATTCCGGGTGGCCCGGCCCGGCCCGGCCCTGGCCCGGAACCGGAACCGCCCACCACCGGTTCGGGCTCGGGCCTCCTTTTTCTGAACCGAGGCCCGGCCGGGCCCGAACCGGAACCGGTCCACCCCTAAGGCAGACACACAACCTTGTTATGGACCAGGACTGACCAGGTTTTTAACTAGAAACTAACCAGTCATAAACCGATACTAGACGTAATGGTAAATTATTTTCCAGTTTGGTTCTGGTTCCTCCAACATAAAACTGGACCGGCCGGTTCTGATTACTTTTTAAGGTTACAAACGGTTAAGAACCAAACAAGAGTCAATTTGTCTACCTGACTAGGGGTGGACTCGGGCCGGGCGGCCCGCCCCAGAACCGCCCCGGCCCGGCCCGGTCACTGTTTGAACCAGCCTGAACCGCCGGCCCTGCCAGGGACCGGTCCGGGTAGGCCCGACCCGCTGGGGTTCCGGGCCGGGCTCGGGCCCCTGAAAAGGTAAACCGGCCCGGCCGGTTCGGGCCCGGTCCGGGCCAATTTATTTCCCCCCCCCTTTTTTTTTGTTTTTTTTTTAAGTTTTTTGGTTGGGCTGGGTATTTTGGGCTATTTGAGGTGGTTTGGGGTGGTTGGGGGGTGAGGGGGAGGGGGGAGGGTTGGGGGTTCATTAGGAAAAGCCAAAAAAAAAATTTGAACCGAGGCCCTGCCCGGCCCGGCCCGGCCCTGCCCGAACCCGACCCAGGGGTTACCCGGGCCGGTTCCGGGCCTCCCCTTTCATGAACCAAGGCCTGGCTAGGCCCAGGACCGAACCGGGCCCGAGTCCACCCCTATACCTGACCTGGGGCTGGTCTGGGACTGGCATTAACTATTCCGTCTCCAACCCTAAGTGGAGCTGAAACTTTAAGTCCGGAACTGGCTTGTGCACAACTATATTGAGAATAATATGTCACACAAGCAACTCCTTCAGTATTATGCAAAATCTGTGAATACAATATAGTAGAAATCTTCACAGCAAGGAAGGCCATTGTCAACATTGTTATATAAATATATATAATTGACATACTAGATATATACGTAGTATATTAAAAAATACCCTTTGCAAATATACAATTTTTTCTCTTTTTTGAACCTGAAGTTTTAATGAAATCAAATTGCATGCGGATAGAAACATAAAATATAGTTTATTCAAGGACTCTTTTTTGCACTTTTAAGGTTCCGAACTTTCATCACAAGCTGCTGCCTTTCACCTTCTACCTCAGCAAACTTGAGGCTTATTTCAGAGTATCTCTCTTGCATTTCCTTCAACTCAGCTTCCATTATTCCTTTCCTCTCTCTCAGTAATCTAACTTCATCCCATAATTCGTTATTGCTGAAAATGCAAAAGAAATATTTGCTCTTGAGACTTGAGGGTACCAAAATCTAATAGTGTAAAATAGTGTAAAATACAAGACAACTAATTTATGTAACAAAATCTTGTTTTTATTTTTGTGAAATATTTTCAACAGATTCATGCAACACTCCCTCCGTCTATATCTGTGACTTGGTGTGTATTTTCTTTCTTGGCTATTTAACTTCTGAATCTGCCCTTAGATTAATGGTTGGGACTTGGGACTAACAATGGTGATAAGGTAGATATTATATGGGGTCATAAAGTAAATAGACAACCCATTTTGTATTAGGACTTTACTCACGGGCGGGTGAAAAATTGATGTACTGACATTATTTTGGGAAATATCAATTTTGAATTTGTGGATATACCTATTTCGTGTTTCACTTGTTCCTGAAATCAGATCAAAGTCTTCTGTACCTTCCTGCATTGTTAGTAATGAACTATTAGCTCCACTTTAAGTGTGTGTGTGTGTGTGCGCGCATATATTAGTAAAAAAGGTTTGAGGACATTTGTTTTATTCAATGTGTTTGATTAACAGTTTCACCTAAGAATTCTTTGATCTTCATCATTCTTCATCATTACCCCAATGGCGCAAAGGCTCCCACCTACGGTTGGGTAAGGGGGGGTCGGAATGTACGCACTACGCAGCCTTACCCCTGTACTAAAGTACAGAGAGGCTGTTTCTGAATGACCCGTAGTGAAATTACGTCAAAAATTGGATAGACTGACTCTTCATAACAAAGAAGCGCAAACAGTTTAGACGTTTAGTGTGTCATTTTGCCTTATTCCATCATATTCTCAAGCCAAAAAAATAGTGAGTTTTTGGCTCCATGGCAAATGATTGAGCACTAAGAATTCTTTGATGATACAGCTAAAACCAAATAAATCTCATTCAATTTAAATGCTTTCATTGAGGAGATCTGATCCAGTTGGATCATCTTCCCCCAGTTCACAATAAGTGTTGTTTTAAGTTTTTGACAAATTGGAATTCCCTTTAAGACCCATATTTAATATTTTCGCTCTCAAGAAATTTAATACTCCTACGGGGCAAAACCAACCAAACTACTACAATTACAATTTACGATGGTGGGAAAACGGGACTTAATTACTGCTTAACCTTTTGGGACATGTGTTCACAAAGACTGGCAGTATTCTGGTTGAGTTCTTCTATTCTTGTTTCTAGCTCCTCAATTTTATTATGAAGATCTTTCTCCTTTTCCAAATATGAATTTGTTGAGGTCTCGAGAGCATGTTCCTTCATCTTGATTTGACCCTGTTTGGCACCAAAAACATTAGCTGTCACTTTCCATAATCGAATACTATTAATAATTGAAACATTATCAAACTTGACGAACTATTTCTAAACATGTAATGACAAAAAAAAGAGGAAAGAGGTCTTCCATTATACATTTCAAAACTATTTCTAGTACATGTTTCAAAACATATTCTTGTCGGGGAAAGGGGGAATCCTAATACAAAACAAAAGAAAAGGCTTATTTTTATTCATTTTCCTCAGAAAAATAACGTTCCAAACTTCCAAATAAGTTAAATATGTCCAAATGCAGAAACAAGTAGATGTAAAAATGTAACAGGATTCATAGCTTAGAAAGAGTACTATATTAGGATTTGGACCTCTATCCTAAAATGTATACATTATACTCTATATGTTGGTCTGTAAATTACATTTGTTTAATGTGGATGGCCTAAGATTACTTTACCAAAATGCATTAGCTAAATCATGTTTCTTTTCTTTTGGGATGAAGTAATTATTCCATAAACCTTACTCTAGGTTTAAATTTACCTCGAGCAACTTGATTTTCTCTTTGAGACTAGTAACCTCATGGGAAGCAAGTGCACATTTATCTTTCCTTGAACAAGCTCTTAATGTGTCTTCTTTCTTCTTCAGATCACTCTTCAATTTGGACACCTCCTCCCTCAACTTATCTTTCTCCAACTCATCCTCAGACATACGGCTATTCAGCTCACTATACTGCTCCCTAAGAGCACCCATCTCTAACCGAAGGGCAGCTACTAATGTGTCTTTCTCATTCATGAGATGTGTCATATTGTTCATTCCTTCTATACACTCCTCCACCTTTTTATGCATCAAGACAAGCTCATTTTCAAGTTGACTTTTCTCTAGCCGGAGCTCATTTGCTTCGGTCAACGCTTTGGTAGCTAGTTTCTCATTGGCCTGAAATGTGGATGCTATTTGCACTGAGAGCCTCTTGAGTTCTTTCTGAAGCTTCTCTGCTGTTTTGGCATTTTGCAACCTAGTCTTTCTCAGTTCTTCTTCGGCGCATATGGCTCTTTTCTCTTGCTCTACCTGTTAAAATATAAACATAACTATCACAGTTTTAGTAATACTAAAGCTTCCTACTTGTTAAAATAGGAATATAGTTTTTGCTAAATTGGGCCTAGCTCACCTCAAAATGATCTTTTTGGGTTTTCACCTACATTTTAAACATCAAATGTGGACACTTAATATGCCCTCAGCCCAAACCGGGCTGGAGAACTTGAGAGGTAGACAAGTAAGCTAAGCTTACCCAAAAAGGCTACCTATCCTAAGCAAGGTTTTCCAAATAAACAAATTACCAACCCTCAGTCAGACCAAGTTCTGATACAATGTTGAATTTGACTCACTCCAGATAAATTTTCAAAGGATGAGGTTTAGTGGTAAACATGTGGAATAATTAGCATTTTTTCCTATTGCTATTAGGTTTTTATTCCTTCCATGTTTAGTTCTATTATTGATTTTAAAAGCATTGCAATAGTTTCTAGAAATTATAATAATAAATTCAGTTATATCACTAAAAGTAGTATTTTATTATTAACACTACCTTAGCATTAGAGAGAGCTTCTAGATCGGTTTCAAATTGTTGAGCTCTTTTTTCAAGTTCTTCCTCTAAGGCGTCAATCTGGGCATATGATCCGGATGAACATTCGCATTGCATGTTGAGCTGTTCCTGCAACTGGCTCTGCTCTAGTTTATGCAACAAGTGGTGGTTTTCCTGCTTCAGGATCTCATAATCAAGTGCTAACTGCTCCATTTGGATTTCTAATTCGTCTTTATCTCTTCGATAGATCTCCAGTTCGTTCTCGAGGTCCATGATCTTTTGCTCAAGCTCATATGATTCTATGCCATCACCA